TTGGCAAAGTGGGCTGTCACCCTACATAGAGGTTTGGATTGAACCGAGGCCCCGGCTCAGAGCGCAGCGCCTGCCTCGCCCGCAGCTGCCACCCGATGAGCGGGGAGTGCTCGTGCCAGCCGGGCTGGGCCGGCCTTCACTGCAACGAGAGCTGCCCCCTGGACACGCACGGGCCCGGCTGCCGGGAGCACTGCCTCTGCCTGCACGGCGGCCTCTGCCTGCCCGACAGCGGCCTCTGCCGGTGCGCGCCCGGCTACACGGTGAGGCGCGCCCCGCGGACGGGACGCGGGTGAGGCGGGGCGGGAGGAGCGGAGCAGCCGCCGCTCACTAGTCCGCCCGCTGCCTGCAGGGCCGGCACTGCGCTAGCCTCTGTCCGCCCGACACTTACGGACTCAACTGCTCCTCTCGCTGCTCCTGCGAGAATGCCATCGCCTGCTCCCCTATCGACGGCGCCTGCATCTGCAAGGAAGGTAACGGGGTGCGTCCGGGAGGGGAGGTTTGGGGGCGGGGCCCCGGAGAGAAGGGAGGCGGCAGGGTCAGGGCGGAGCTGATGGGCAGCAGCTGGACCGTGGGAAAGCAGCCAGGCTACTTCCTTCCTGGAATCTCCGCTTTGTTTTTTCTCCAGCTGCAGGAATCCCACTCCTCCTAAAAGGCCCAGTCCAGGAGGCCCCTCTTTGGTGAACCGTGTTCACCCTCAGCGATACATAACCAGGGCCTCCCAGATCTCCCAGGGGTGCAGGGTGGCCGTCTGCAGGCTGGGTTCTGACACAGGCGTGTTTTGTTTGGCTAGCTCTCTATTACTAGTATGTTCAACAAACCTCCAGTCTCCAGTTCCCACTCTTCCCTATTGTCTTGCACCTGGTCGGGATAATTCGTTTAGTTACCTGTTGGGGCCTCTGTAAGCATTGGGTTTGCTGCCAGCCCCCTTCATTTTGCAGAAGAGGCATCCAAGACCCAGAATGGGGTGGTGGTGGCTGGCGGTCATTTAGCCTTTTGTTCCACATCTAACAGTTTATCTGCTTGTCTCTTGTAAGGGACCATGAGCACCCCCACTTCACCCCCAACTCATAGCACAGAGCCTGGCACAGTCAGTGCTTAGTGTGTGCTCACCCGGGAGGGGAGATGGGTCCCCCTGCCTACCTGCCCACCTCCCTTCTAGGTTGGCAGCGTGGTAACTGCTCTGTGCCCTGCCCACCTGGAACTTGGGGATTTGGTTGCAATGCCAGCTGCCAGTGTGCCCACGAGGCAGCCTGCAGCCCCCAGACTGGAGCCTGTACCTGCACCCCTGGGTGGCAAGGGGTCCACTGCCAGCTCCCCTGTCCAGTAAGTGCCCAACAGCCTGCCTGCCTGCCTGGGGGGGAGGGAGGGCAAGGCTTCCCTCAGCTGACTCGTCTGCCCTCCCCTCCACTCCCTCTCCAAGAAGGGGAAGTTTGGTGAAGGCTGTGCCCATCGCTGTGACTGTGACCACTCTGATGGCTGTGACCCTGTTCATGGACACTGCCAGTGCCAGGCTGGCTGGACAGGTGAGCATTCTGGGGTACCAGGCCCCAGGCCCCCTGTGGAGTTGGGGGTATATACCCCAGGAAATGTGTCCAGAAGATCCCTTATGGGAGGGGTAGGGCAGGCCAGGCTCACCCTATTCCTCTCTCCCACAGGTACCCGCTGCCACCTGCCCTGCCCTGAGGGCTTCTGGGGAGCCAACTGTAGCAACACCTGCACCTGCAAGAATGGGGGCACCTGTCTCCCCGAGAATGGCAATTGTGTGTGTGCACCTGGATTCCGGGGTCCCTCCTGCCAGAGACGTGAGGCTCCCTCCCTTCCTCCCACCTGTCAGCAGTGTGGCGCAGTGTAGTGTCAGAACCTTCTACTCTGCCCATCTTGTTTTCTTCCACTGATTCCAATCTTTGGGCCAGTGGGCAGGAGGGAGGGAGATAGTGGCATCAAGGGCTGTTTGCCCCCAGTCACCAGGAGCCCTTTTCCCCCAGCCTGCCAGCCTGGCCGCTATGGCAAACGCTGTGTGCCCTGCAAGTGTGCTAACCACTCCTCCTGCCACCCCTCCAATGGAACCTGCTACTGCCTGGCTGGCTGGGACCGGCTCAGACTGTTCTCAACGTACGTGGTGGCTTGTGTGTCTGAGAGCATGTGTGTGCCAGAGGGTGGGCTGAGAACCAGCGGCTTCTGTTCTCCTGCTCCTGGGTATAAAAGCCTCTGGACCTGCCTTGATTCAGTTTAGTGATATAAACAATGTACACAAAAACTTACTGAGCACCACCTCCCTTCTGGGTGCTGCGGATGCAGCAATGAAAGTCAGGAGAAACAACTCCCTGTCCTTCTCCACGGGAGACCCAGGAAGGGCAGTACAGGGAAGCGGGTGAGGGAAGCCATAAGCTCGTTTTGTTTTTTGTTTGTTTGTTTTAATGTTTTTATTGATCTTTTAGAGAGAGAGAAAGGGAGAGGGATAGAGAGATAGAAACATCAATGAGAAACATCATCGATCAGCTGCCTCCTGCACACCCCCCACCGGGGATCGAGCCTGCAACCCGGGCATGTGCCCTGACCAGGATCGAACCGAACAGCCTCTTGATTCCTGGGTCAATGCTCAACCGTTGAGCTACACCGGCCGGGCCACAAGCTCAGTTTCTTATCAATTAATTGATTTACTTATGGCTTCTTTCTCACATAAATATATGAAGAACATCATGGAAAAGATTCATGCAAAACAACCAAGTGAAATAGATTTTGAGAATGGAAATGAGAAGCTATTACTATGAAACGGGCTGGATGGAAGCTCATTGTCAGGCCGGGGAGAGAAAAGTCATCCTGGTGAGGAGTTTTGCCATAGAATTCAGGAGTGACTACTATCAGATTATTTGCTAGTAGCAGATACACAAAAATTATACCTTAAATAGCATGAACATTTACTTCTGTCACGTTTTAAAAAACAGTTTTTTAAGTGTAGAGCTACACAGTGCAGGGTGGTTTGGACGGCTCTGGCCGCCTGGCCCTGCCACGCTGTTCTGAGTGGCCATTAGACAGCCAAGTGCAGGCGTTAAGTAGGCAGCTGGGCACATGGGTCTGCCGGTCCGCGTGTGTGAGTCATCCGAGTGTAGATACTGTCCAAAGCCGTGGTGTCCCTGGGGAGAGAGACCAGCGCTGCGGGGAAGATTTCAGTGTTGTTGGGGGCCCAGAATTCATCTGGTGAGGGCGGAGGAGGCCTGGGCTGGAACACCAGGCAGGCGCACCTTGTCTCCGCAGCATGCCCTCCAGGACGCTGGGGAGACAACTGCGCCCAGCCCTGCCAGTGTCACCATGGCGGGACCTGCCACCCCCAGGATGGAAGCTGTTTATGCCCCCCAGGCTGGACCGGACTCCTCTGCTTGGAAGGTACCAACAGAAGCCGAGCTCCCTGCCCCTGCGCCCAAGTCAGCCCGAGCCCTGTGTCCTGGCAACCTCTGATCCCCGCCTACCTCCTTGGCTCTCTCCCAGGCTGTTCTCCAGGGATGTTTGGTGCCAATTGCTCCCAACCATGCCAATGCGGTTTTGGAGAGAGGTGCCACCCAGAGACGGGGGCCTGTGTGTGTCCTCCAGGGCACAGTGGTGCCCCCTGCAGGATTGGTGAGTTCTCCTCTAGGCCTTTCATACCCCCAGGGAACGAGGACATGGGCACCGGCCCGGGTCTCTGCCACGATCTTGGCCCCTCACCTAGGAGTCTCTCCCATGCATGTCCCCCAAGCTCACCAGCAGAGCCAAGACGCTGTTCTGAATGACTGCCCTACCCACTAGGAAGCCAGGAGCCCTTCACCATGATGCCTACCTTTCCAGTGCCCTATAACTCACTGGGGGCCGTGATTGGCATCGCAGTGCTGGGGTCCCTGGTGGTGGCCCTGGTGGCATTGTTCATCGGCTACCGCCGTTGGCAGAAAGGCAAGCAGCACCAACACCTGGCAGTGGCCTACAGCAGCGGGCGACTGGATGGCTCTGAGTATGTCATGCCAGGTGAGCGTGCCGGGGGCAGGGGACACATCCAAGTAGCTGGCTCATAGGCACAGGGCTCCTGGGTCTCTCCCTGGACCTGGAAGATGGGACGTGAGGAGTGGGAGGGAGGAAGGGAAGTCAGAGGGGCTGATGACTGATCTCCGGGGTCAGAATAGCATTCCTGGGCCCAGGCCTGTCTCTGCCTGGGGGTCACCTGCGCCTGCGTCTGTCCTTGCAGATATCCCCCTGAGCTACAGTCACTACTACTCGAACCCCAGCTACCACACCCTATCCCAGTGCTCACCTAACCCTCCACCCCCTAACAAGGTCAGTGCTGGGGAGGGCGCGCTGGGGAGAGATGGTAAACACCCGCTTCTCTGGAAAGCTCCATCCTTGCTCCTCCCCCGTCAGGTTCCCGGCAATCAGCTCTTTGCCAGCCTCCAGGCCCCTGAGCGGCCAGGTGGGGCCCATGGGTCTGACAACCACACCACACTGCCTGCGGACTGGAAGCACCTGGACAGGGGTAGGAGCCTAGAGGCCAGGCCTCCGGTGAGGGCGGGTGTGTGCAGCCCAGCGTCCTGCTCCGTCTGCAGAAGGGGCTTCTGGGCACCAGGGTTAGAGGAGACTGAGCCCAGGAGTTTGATGGCGGGTGGCCTCCTCCTCCTCCTCAGGTAGCAGCCGCTTGGACCGAAGCTACAGCTGTAGCTACGGCAACAGTAATGGCCCGGGCCCATTCTACGGCAAAGGTATGAGCACAGGGGGGGGCGGGGGGGGGTGCGCGAGGGAGCTGCACTGGGGCTTGTTTAGGAGCCAGTGCCTCCCCTGAGCCTGAACGCTTTCCCCCATCCTCAGGACCCATCTCTGAAGACGGGCTGGGGGCCAGCATGGCTTCCCTGAGCAGTGAGAACCCCTACGCCACCATCCGGGACCTGCCCAGCCTGCTAGGGGGCCCCCGGGAGAGCAGCTATGTGGAAATGAAAGGCCCCCCCTCAGGATCTCCCCACAGGCAGCCTCCTCAGCTCCCGGCCAGCCAGAGGCCGCGATACCCCCAGCCACAGCCGCAGCGAGACAGTGGTACCTACGAGCAGCCTAGTGTTCTGCCCCATGGTGAGCCTCCTTCTCCGCTGGGGCAGGGGCTGGAGAGGTGGGAGGGAGAAGGGACAAGGGAGGGAGAAAGGGACAGAGAAAGAGAATGTGGAGGTGCATGCTGTGGCAGCAAGAGCAAGGCCTTGGGGGTCTGACTGGGGCCCAGGCCAGGCATGCTGTTGGGAATCACGGTGCCGCTTACAGCCTGAGCGGTGGAACCCACCTCACAGGGCTGAGGGTGGAAATGAGGTTGTGGAGCACCTGGCTTGTGGAGTTGGTCCCCAGACAAGTGGGGAACCAGGCAGGGGGTGAGCAAGGGGGCTGCATGGGCAGGTGTCCAAGTGTCCTCAGAGCCTGTGAGGTGGGCAGGTCAAGGTGGCCTCCCCGGCTGGCAGCTGGGAAGCTGCACAAAGTGCCTTACAGCCAGGCACCAGCTCTGTTTGGGCAAAAGTGTCTGGAGAGGGGAGAGGAGGAAGAAGGGGAGGAGCCACCTCCTCCTCATTCTGTCCCTTCTCTGTCTCCAGACCCAGACTCCGTGGGCTCCCAGCACCCCCAGCCTCTGGGCCCGACCCCCGGCCACTATGACTCGCCCAAGAACAGCCACATCCCTGGACACTATGACTTGCCTCCTGTACGGCACCCCCCATCCCCCCCACTTTAGCGCCGGGACCACTGAGGGGCCAAGATGGTGTGCAGAGGCCAGCACACCTGTTCTTGCTGCCCAAGGTTGGGGACAGAGCCGGCTGAACCCTGCCAGGAGCAGGGAGAGGTCTGGCAGGCCGTGAACATGAACGTGTTTATGAACAAGTTTAATAGAGGAGGTGAATGGAGAGATGGGAGCCTGGTTGGCAGGAAGCCTGCATTCCCTTTCCCCAACCCACTGCCCCCCAAGGCTGCCAGGGCCTGTGTACATAAACTGGTGGGTTGGGCATTGCTGGATAACTCTGATTTCATATTGATGTAAAAAATGTATATTGAGC